TGCCACTGTCAACTAGCATATTTTCTGAAAATTTTTTAGAAAATAATAACAATAGGAAAATAGGAAATGAAAGCTAGAAATTCCACCTTTCCCAGAGAGTTAATGGAAATGTCTGACTGGCATTTCAATACATTCCTACCCAAACAGGAAGTGGGGCCCCTGTGGCCCCACTGGAAGTTTCCAAGATTCTCTTCCAGCTGCATCTCTGAGGCCTGGTAGGATGGGGCCCCATGTTCCAGGCACCCCTACCCAAGGCGGCAGAGCCTTCAGGGACACAATGATCTGGGAGAAGGCAAACATCATGGTCCACCAACTGTGCCTTCTCTGATGGGAAAGCCCGTCATCAGACACAAAAGCTGTGCTCTGTGTCACAGCTGTCCCTTTCACAAGCCTGCTGCTCCTCAGCAGCAACCGAGTTCACAGTTTGTAAGTGTGTTTTGTGAAATTCCCAATTCCTGTGGCTTCATAACACTGAGCTAAAAATACAGTGTCAACTGGCACATGGCCCAGATTCTGGAGCCCCAAAGAAGGCTGAAGCGTAAATTAGAAGGGGTGTGTGTGTGTGCTCCAAGAGGAGCAGACAAGAGGCAGTGAGAAGCCCAGGCCATGTGGTGACGGGGGAGGAGGAGGAGGAGGGTGTCAGCACGCAAGGGAACAGGTAATAGAGGAGGGAAACAGAAGCATGATTTTAAAATATCCATTCCTGGGGGAATGGAGCAAGCACTCGCCTCTAAATTAACTCTGCATTCTCCATCCAAATGACTACTGATTTTCAAAGTAATAAGTTATTTTACAAGGATTTTCCTATATAAGTTATTAGAGGGCTCTTTGATGTGTATTATAGTCTATTTTATTTATTTTAATTGACTCATAATAATTGTACATATATATGAATTGCAGTGTGATAAAACTGATACATGTATACAATGTGTAAAGGCCACATCAGAGTAACTAGTATTTCCATCTTAAGCATTTATCCCCTCTTTGTGATGGAAGTTCTTCTTTTCTAGTTCATTATAAAATATATAAACAATTGTTGTCAACTACAGTCATCCTCTTGTGCATAAAGAACTTATTTTTCCTACCTAACTAAACTTTGGTACCTGTTATCTTACCTCCATTTCCTTTCCCTCCTATCCTTCCAAGCTCTAGTGACCACTATTTTAATTTCCAGTCCTATGACATCAACTTTTTTTAGATTCCACATACAAGTGAGATCATACAGTATTTGTCTTTCTGTGTCTGGCTTATTTCACTCAATATAATGTCTTCCAGTTGGTTCCATGTTACTACAAATGACAGGATTTCATTCTTTTTCATCACAGAATAATACTCCATTGTGTATATATATTACATTTTCTTTACCCATTCATCTGTTGATGGACACCTGGATTGATTCCATATCTTGGCTATTGTGGATGGTGCTGCAATAAACAGAGGTATGCAGGTATCTCTTTTGTGTGCTGACTTCATTTTCTTTGCATATGTACCCATTAGTAGGAAAACTAGATAATATGACAGTACCATTTTTAGTTTTTGAGGAACCTCCTTACTGTTTTTCATAATGACTACACTAATTTTAGTCCCATCAAAAGTTCCCCATCTTCCTCATACTCATTCAAATTTTTTTGTTTTGTTTTTGTCTTTCTGATAATAGCTAGTCTAACTGGGGTAAAATGAGACATCGCTGTGGTTTTGATTTGTACTTCCCTGATAACTAATGACGTTAGGCATTATTTCATATATTTATTGACTACCTGTATATTATCCTTTGAGAAAGGTCTGTTCAGATCATTTGACCATTTTTAATTCAATTTTTTTTGTTCCTTATATATTCTAAATATTAACCCCTTGTCAAATGAATAGTTTGCAAATATTTTTCCCATTCTGTAGATTCTCTTTACCCTGTTCATTGTCCCCTTTGTTGTTATAGCACATTTAATCTAAGGTCTTCATTTGATCTGAATCATTGAAAGCTCAAAATTAAAATGTACCTTTAAAATTCCTTAACCTTGAGGATGATAATTAACTATAGAATATGTTTAAGAACCTGAATGGCAACTCAGAATATCCAGAGGACTAACTTGCCATGCACATGACTATTTCTTAGCTATGCAATGAATTCAGTGAAAATTGTTTTTTTTTTCCTTTTCTCCAAAAGGGAAACTGTTTTATTACTTTGTCTAGTATATAAAAATTCCTTCAATACAGAAATTACATAAAAAAAATTTTAAAAATTATCTAGAATCTCCCAGTGAAAATATCACCCTTGGGCTGGGGTTGTGGCTCAGTGGTAGAGCACTCGCCTAGCACATGTGAGGCCCTGGGTGTTGAGAGCCACAGCCGAAGGGGCCCCAGCAAACTTCCAGCTGCCAGCAAACTTCCAGCTGCCGGCTGATGATTGGCTCACAGCGGCCCCAGCAACATCTAGCTGATTGGCTCCTCTGCGGTGATGCTCATTGGGCTGTTTCCCTGCCCTTTCAGACCACGGAGCTGCTCATTGGGCGACTTTTTTGGCTCCGCCCACGTGACCCAGCCACTTGGCCTCAAGAGCAGGAGGATTGTGGGAGGTGGAGAAAGGCTTGTGTTGGAGAGAGAGGCTTGTGGGAAGCCGGTGGTGGCAGTTGGGCTCTGAGGGTTTTTCCTGAGAGGCTGTTTTGTTTGGTGGGTGTGGTTCTAAAAATAAAGTTAGTTTCTTTTGACAAGTGGCTCCTGATTGTGCCCAGCCAGACTGCAGCACCTGGGTTTGATCCTCAGCACCACATGAAAATAAATAAACAAAGATATTGAGTCCAACTACAACTAAAAAATAAATGTTAAAAAAAGAAAAGAAAATATCACCATTACCAATATGATGAATAGTTCTCTAAATCTTTTTCTAAGTATATCTGTATATAGAAATTTTTTCAAAATCAAAATCATAGTATTAATAGAGTATAACTCAAACTATTAATATTTGTGTGTTAATAATATTTTATAACATAACTTTTATTGGCTATATTCCATATTATGGATATACTATCATTTATTTAACCAATCTCCAATCAATAGGCACTTGGAATTATTTCCAATATTTTACTACTATAAGTAATTACAAACAGATACAATTACAGAATATTAGAACTATGAGTGCTTACACTTCTCTCTATAAATATATCTGAAATTCGGAGGAAATAGATGATTTCCTATATAAATTACCAACAATGATCCCAAAGGAAAAAAATTAAGAAAATTAAACGTACCAGTAAGTATAGGAAGTTTAAGGTTTTGTTTTGCTTTGGTTTTTGTTTGTTTGTTTATTGTGGTTTTGATTTGTACTTCCCTGATAACTAATGATCAACCAGGATTGAACCCAGGGGCACTTAACCACTAAGCTATATCCCCAGTATTTTATTTATTTATTTATTTATTTTTTCAGACAAGGTCTTGCTAAGCCACTTAGGGCCTTGATAAGTTGCTGAAGCTCGCTTTGAAATTGCAAACCTCCTGATACAGCCTTCTGAGCCACTGGGATTACAGGCTTGTGACACCGTGCCCGGCCAAGTATAGGAAGTTTTGAAACTACTCCAAGAGCTACCTCTTCTGAAACGGGATGTCCAGATTGTTTCCCAAGTGAAATTTCCCAAATCTTTAAAAATTCCATTTTAGAGTTCCAGAGAACAGAGAAAGAAAGAAACAGTTTCATGTTTGTTTTTTTTTTTAATTCTCAGTACCACTGATACCAAATACAACAAAAATGGCAGAGGAAAAGAAAACAGACCAATCACGCTTGTGAATACGAGTGGAAGAATCTAAGTACAACTTAGCAAATAAAACCCAGATTAAAGGAATAACACACCTAAAACCAAGGATAATTTATAATAGCAATTAGTACTATCATTACCAGGAAGGTGACTACTAAAACCCACCATATTACTGGGTTTTTGTTTTTTAGGCCTTTATTTTATTTATTTATATGCAAAGCTGAGAATCAAACCCAGTGCCTCACACATGCTAGGCAAGCACTGAGCCACAACCCCAACCCTCACAATACTGTTTAATAGAAGAAAATAAATATATAATCACCTTCAGTAACTCATTTTTTAAAAATATATTTTAGTTGCCAATGGAACTTTATTTATTTATTAATATGTGTGGAGCTGAGAATCAAACCCAGGGCCTCACACATGCTAGGCAAGAGCTCTACCATTGGACGACCACCCCAGCCCAAAGTAACTCATTTCTAACTAAAATGAGAATGAATGAAAGTTTCCCTGAGATTATATACAGCCCCAAACTACTAAAATAGTAGTAGCTAGTGACAGAAAGAGAAAGCAAAATAACAACAACAAAGCCACCATCATAAAAACAGACTCAGTGTAACAGAGTGATTGAAAACCCAACCTGTGACACTAGGATCTCTGGGTACAAATTTCGTCTCTACCACTAGTTATCCAGCTTTAAACAAATCACTTAGCCTCTCCATTACATTATTCATTTTCAGAGGACTCTTTTCATCTATAAATTGTGATAAAAGTATCTTCTCACAGGGATTCTGTAAGGATTAAACGAGCTGAAAACAGTAATGGGCTCAAGGTTCTAAGTAGATACACACAGCATCAAAAAGCCAAGATCACAAAACAAATGGTGAAACGCCCCAACAATTTCCATGGAAGTCAGGAACAAGAAGAGAACAAAGTCAACACTACTATTTAAGTTTTCGTCCTAAAAACATTAGCCAAGTGACCCATCAAGAGAAAAACATATCTCAAAAAAAAAGAGAGAGAGAGAGAAAAGAAACATAACTTTCACAAATACAGAAAGCTAGAAGATAGAATTATCATCTGCACTTGACAAGACACTATTCCTAAAGTACCAAGAGAACCAACTGAAAACTTACTAGTAACAAACAGGGACATACTGGACTTACTTTATTTACAAGCCCAAAGTAGAACTGAGAGAGAAATATGAAACAATCTCAAAATGGTATAACTGAAATCCTGGACTTTTTGAAAACTCACCTTGGCAATATAATTTTGGGGACTCCCACGTGCCCAGGGCTGTGCAGTTTGAAACTGTATGTTCCGGAACACTGAAAAATCCTTCTTTGCAACCATAACGGACCTGGCTGCCCAGCCTAGAGGTATAATTTCCTATGATGTAGCCATGTGGGACATCAGGAGGGGTGCCACAGTCTATTTCTGAAAACAAATTCATTACCATGTGAATGTAAAGTTTTAAAATTCACAATCTCGCTCCACATTTACCCCATTCCTCACACACATACCCCAATGCCTATTTTAGATACACTGATTTGACTTTTTTTTTGGTACTAGGGATTAAACACAGGGCTACTTAACCACTGAGCCACATCCCCAGTCATTTTTATTTTTATTTTGAGACAGGGTCTCACCAAGTTGCTTAGGTCCTCGCTAGGTTGCTTTGAACTTTCGATCTTCCTGCCTCGGCCTCCTGAGTCGCTGGGATCAGGGGCCTGTGCCACTGTGCTCAGCTTTTTCCATATGAGTTCTGGCCATGTTTCTAATGTTTCTAATGATCATCTTAATTCAATCTTCTGTCCTTCCCTAGGTAATAGCATCTATACATGCACAAAGATGAAATAATCTAGAGATCAGTCCTCATTAATTTATACTAACTTAAAAAACTCCTAGTCTGGGGCCAGGGTTGTGGCTCAGCAGTAGAGCGCTTACCTAGCACATGTGGGCACTGGGTTTGATCCTCAGCACCACATAAAAATAAATAAAGGCATTGTGTCCATCTACAACTTAAAAAAAAAAATTGAACACCTAATCCCATGAAGTAAAAACTGAATTGCAAAATACCTTAAAATATATGTACCTTTGTAATTTTCAACATCACTTTTGAGATGCTAGGTCTTTACCAGATTGGCTAAACTCCTCTCTAACATCACAACTGATGTCAAATATCTGTTAACTACTAAAATACCTTGTTTGCTAGTTTTAACTTTTTTTAACACAGCCCCTTCTATGGTGATCAGATCACTATCTGCTTTAATTCATAGGTTGTACAAAAGTACAAAGGAACAGATTATCTCCACCCACAGCCTCAACACAGACCTAGGAACATCAGCATGTGCGAGTCACACCACAGATCTCACCTCAAGGGCCTGCATTCATTGGCAATACCCACCTGTGCATACCGTGGCATCTCTGGCCGGGTGGAAAGGCTCAGGTCCATTCTTCGGCAAGTATCCATCCTTACAGTAGCATTTGAAGCTCCCTGGAGTGTTGACACACTGTCCTCCAGGCCGGCACACGCCGGAAACTTCACACTCATTTATGTCTTCAGACCCACCCCAGATACAGGAAAAAGAAAAACAGAAAGAAAAAAAAGAGGGTTGGGGGGGGGACACTGTAACAGCTGTTTTCTCACTTTTTCCATCTGTCCTTACAAATGGACATGTGTTTGCAATTGTATCATGAATTTTCTATTACTCTTTAAGGGTTCTTCTCATATAGTCTTCACATAATAAAGCACTGAAAACATGAAGTGCTCAATAATTACTTGTAAGTGTGTTCTGGAAATTAATAGAAACCAATGACCATCCCCAGTTCCCTAACACCCAATAAAAAGAACACATTCAATTGCTATAAATAAAGATAGTCCTAACCTTATACTAACATGGAGCTCCAAATCTAAAACAATTTGCACAAGAGTGAAAAATGCTAGCAACTGACAAACAGCGTCTCAGTTCCTGAGTACAGGATGATGTGGCAGGTAGAAGTGGGTAATTAAGAAGGGGCTCACTAATTTTCCCCAGAGTAGAGGCCTTAAAATAAGCTTCAAGAAGAACAAGATATGCTCCTTGGAGTCTTCTCCATTTGACTGAAGATTGCTATTTTGGATTGGATGTGAGGTGTCCCCCAAAAGCTCATGTGCGGGGCAATGCAAGGAGGTTCAGAAAAGAAATGATTGGGTTATAAGACCCTTAATCCATTCAATGAATTAATCACCCGATTGGATTAGTTGAGTGGTAACTGAAGGTAGGTGGGGTAACCAGAGGAAGTGGTTCATTGGGGGTGTGGCTGTGGGGTATATATTTGCATCCAGTGAGTAGAGTCTCTCTCTGCTTCCTGATCATGATGTGAGCTGCTTCCCTCTGCCACACTCTTCCACCGTGATGTTCAGCCTCACCTCAAGCCCTGAGGAATGGAGCCAGACTTCTATGGACTGAGACCTCTGAAACTGTGAGCCCCCAAATAAACACTTCTTCTACTAAAATTGTTCTTGTCAGATCTTTCAGCAGTGGAAAAGCTGACTAAAACAATTGCCAAAGACAGCAGATACAAGGGTAAACACTGTATAGCATTTAAGAGGCTGGAGAAGAAACCTCTGTAGAGTAAGCAGAGTTTTTTCCCCCAGAACAGCTTAAAAACTTAAAGAATTCCACTAGGTGTGGTGGCACACACCTGTAATCCCAGCAAGTGTGGAGGCTGAGGCAGGAGGATTGCAAGTTTGAGGCCAGCCTTAGCAACTTAGTGAAATACTGTCTCAAAGTATAATAATAACAATAATAATAATAATAATAATAATAATAATAATAATAATAAAGGCCTGGGGATTTATCTCAATGCTAAAGTGCCCCTGGGTTTAACCCCCAGTACCAAAAAAGACAGAGAATGAAGAAGAAGAAAAGAAAGGAAGGAAGAAAAAAGCTCCCTGATTGAAATGATAATCTTCCTAGGACACCTACAAGAACCACAGGAGTGAGTGGTGGGCAGTGGACAGGGAGCATCATGAATAAAGAAAGTCTGGTTGCACCTAGGCTCTGGGATTTCAAAGACCTGTAACTTCAGAAGGACTGATATAAAATGGCCAATATTCTATTCTGCCAGGCAAGATCTTTTTTTATCCCCCCCAAAAAATTACTAACACCATAATTTCATAAAAAAAGGACAGGGGCTGGGGATGTGGCTCAAGCGGTAGCGCGCTCGCTTGGCATGCGTGCAATCCGGGTTCGATCCTCAGCACCACATACAAACAAAGATGTTGTATCCGCCAAAAACTAAAAAATAAAAAATAAAAAATAAATTAAAAAATAAATAAATAAATAAAAATTTTAAAAGGACAGATTGGGGCTGGGGTCATGGCTCAGCAGTAGAGTGCTCACCTAGCACATGCGGGGCTCTAGGTTTGATCCTCAGCACCACACAAAAATGAATAAATAAAATAAAGGTATTGTGTCCAACTACAACTAAAAAAAATTTTTTTAAATAAAGAGAGGACAGATTAGCACCCCAAAACAGAGAAGAAAACTACTTCAGAATCCTTATAAATTTGTTTAATATAATCTTGTAAAAATTCACTCTAGTCTCTCTCTCTTTGGTCTTGGTCCAGTGCACACCTGTCAGTCACACTGATCCCTGTTTGGGAGCCAGCAGTTCACTCAGTTGCTGAAGGAGCTCACTCAAGCTACCTATTCTGATGAACCTATCTGTTCCTTCACTGGAGCAAACTTTGGGAAAATCTGTGGAAAATGGTCTCCAAAGACAGCTACCAACAATTCCTCCCCTTGAATGCTATATCTCAAGAATCTGATTCAATTTAAAAAAAAACAAACAGTGGAATCAGTTCCCCCTCCTCTTAGGTTGGTCTCGAGACTTGCTTTGCCCAGCAGAACAGAGCAGAAGTAACAGTAGACTGTTGGACCCAGCTCATAAGAAGCGTGGCAGTGGGGGCTGGGGCTGTAGCTCGGTGGTAGAGCGCTTGCCTGGCATGTGTGAGGCACTAGGTTCCATCCTTAGCACTACATAAAAATAAATAAAACAAAGAAGAAGCATGGCAGCCTCCCCTTTCCTTCGCTTGGAATTTGGTGGCCATTCTGTAAGGAAGACCAAGCTATTGTGCTTGGGAGAAAGGCCACTCAAAAGGGCCCCCAAAATGAGACACCATGTGAAGATAGAGGCCATGCGAAAGATAACCGAAGTCCCCTGGCCTCTAGTCAGCATGGAGGCCCTAGACATGTGGGCAAGGCCTGCTATCCCTGCTATTACCTGCAGCTCAGCCCAGCCACTGGCTAAATGTACCACAGCAGATGAAGCAGAAGCACCCTGCCAGTCTGTGGAATGGGACAGCACAGGTGCCGGTGGGCTGTGCAGCAATACATAACCAAGACCCCTTGACATAAGAGTCAGCAAAGTCCAAATAAGTGAGATTAAGAGAATAACACATCAATTTTAAAAGGGGACCTCTGAGAAGACAATTAATCTTAGAAACTAAGCAAAATATGAATGCTAAAAATAAAAACTCGGTGGAAGCATTGAATATAGGTTACTTGCCGATGAAAAAAAATATTGCAAATCCCAACTTGAGGAATTCTCCAAAATTAGATAGAAAAAAAAAATTGTGAGACAGAAATAACAGAACAAATGCCAAACGTTATGGAGACGGATCCAAAATATTCAATATCCACTTAAGAGGAATTACCAAAGAGAAGGGAGTGAATATACAAAAACTAGTCTCAAAGGGGAAAAAACAAAAACAAAACTTCAGCTTATGCTTCAAATCCAAATAGACTTTTAAGGCAACAGGCATGTCATTCTCCTGAGGATGACATAAGGCACTGGCTGAAAAATAAATCTTGAACGTGGCCAGCAGGCTACGGGCTGACCACACCTGCTGCCTCCCTTTGGGGCTCTCACCCCTACCTCCAGGATTGGGATCCCTTGGGACCACCCCTAATTTTTCTACACCCTAAGTGCAGGACTCCTACCCTCCTCTTTTCCCCACCATGAGCTAGAAAAGACAAAGGTGTGGCATCTAGGGAAGGTAGTCTTTGATAGAAATATATGAACCACTTCAACACCTCACTCTAACACACAGGCCACATATTGCCTGATCCAGTTCACAGAAAGTCTCCAGAACATGCAAATCTACAGAGACAGAAAGTGAAGCTGTGGTTGTCTAGGTCAGCGGGAAGTGGGAAGCAGAGAGACAATGGGCATGGGGTTTCTTTTGGGGGAGACAAAAATCTAAAATAGGTGGTAATGGTTGTGTAATTCTGTGAATATATTAACCACCACTGAATTGTTCACTTTCACTTTAAATGGGTATATTTTAGGGCATGCAAATTATATCTCAATGAAGCTGTTACTTAAAATGAAGGGGCTGTGGTGTAGCCCAGTGGTAGAACACTTGCCTGGCACATGTGAGGCCCCAGGTACAATCCCCATCATTGCAAAAATAAATAAAAAATTAGAGCCATTCCAAACCCCACAGAATAAGAGAAAAAATATACCTTCTGAGAAAAAGGAATGGTAACCTATGAAGAGGAGACCCCTTCTGACCTGGGACTTCTTGTCTAAAACACTAAATGCTACATGGCAGTGGAGTAGTATTTATAGTTCTAAGGAAAGGGGAATGAAACATCATGCTCTATTTAAGAAAAGAAATGACATTTTAGAACATGAATGATCTCGAGAATTATACCACTGACATTTCTTTTCTGAAAATAATTTTGAGAAAATACTCCAGCCGGTGAAACATCAGAATAAATAAGGTCAAGTAAGGCAAGGGGCTGCTTAGAGATGCAGGGGTCATGAAAAAGCTGAACAATTTCTTCAGTTTTCTCCATATTCATCATTTGTTTAGGAAAACCGGTTTTGTAGATAGTTTGAGGATAAATCTGAGTCCTTACACCAATGGAGTCTTAGGAAAGAACCCTGTGTACATATTTCACCATATTCAAGAGGGACTTGGAAAGGAACCCAGAAAATTGATATCCCGGAGCTTGAGCAAGTAACAGAAGGCAAGAGTAAGATGTGGGGGACATTAACCTGGAGGGGGCGCTCAGGCATTTCCTGCTCACGCCAAAGAGGAGCAGTGGTGTCTTGGTCTGGACCTCGGGTACTTCGGGGGATGGAATTTTGCTTCAATCTCCTTTGATCCAGAATCTTTGCCCTCTCTCTCCTTCCTGGGAGCTGGAGAAGTATCATGGCCCCATGTCTAAAGCAGAGTCAGCAAGACTCTAGGGAGACGTCAAGGAGCCACACAGCTCTGGACAGGAGAAAGCAACACACTCCAGGGAATGTACTTGCCCTTGGATTTATATTTCCTTGCTTCCTCCTTCTTCCAGAGTAATAGAACACAACTCTTTAAGAATAAAATCCAAAAAGCCAGGTGTAAAAGTGCACTCCTGTAATCCCAGAGACTTGGGAGGCTGAGGCAGGAGGATTGCAAGGCTCGACAACTTAGCAAGGCCCTAAGCAATTTAGTGATACCCTACTTCAACAAATAAAAAGGGCTGGGGATATGGCTCAATGGCAAAGCAACTCTGAGCTCAACCTCTAGTAGCAAGAAAAGAAGAGGAAGAGGAAAAAGATAGGGGGAAGGGGGAGGGGAAGAAGAGGGGAGGGGGTGGAGAAGATCCAGCTAAAACAAAGGAGTGGCAGGGAAGTTCCATTTGGAGAAATCACTGGGGGAAACCTCAAGACAGCTACAAGTTAACTGGGCAATTCCCCAAAGAGAGCAAGCAGAGTCTCAGCGGGCCCGCATGTTTGTGTCTGAGGCCACATCAGGCTGCTCCAGAACCCACAATAGCAAGAGCTGAAAAGCTTGAAGTGATGGCTCACGTCGGGGACAAGCCTCCTGCCCTGGGATCTCTAGCCTCATCTCCAAGGGGATAGGACTAATGTCTAGGAATGACCTCACACAGGCAAACCTACAGGATCCAGGCTTTGAGCAGGAGGTTCTGGGAACTGATGAGTGGCAAACATGTGTTCCCTAAATTATTTTCCTGCCTTTACCCCCTTTCTTAGCCAGGGCTTAGTGCTGCTACATTTCACAGCAGCAACAGCATCAGGCCCTAATGCTGCAAGAGATGAACTTATGAAAAAGAAGGTTGCTCCTGTAATCCCAGCAGCTCGGGAGGCTAAAGCAAGAGGATCATGAGTTCAAAGCCAGCCTTAGCAAAATCAAGGCACTAAGCAACTCAGGGAGACCCTGTCTCTAAATAAAATACAAAATAGGGCTGGGGATGTGGCTCAGTGATCCAACGCCCCTGAGTTCAATCCTCGGTACCAAAAAAGAAAAAAGAGAAGAAGGTTGCTGCTGCCATCAGGTTGGGACGCATCGGCAGGATCTGGAGAATTCAATGGCACATAGAAGCTAGTTTGTAGTTTGCAGGTTTTGCTGTAGAGCCTGGCCTCCTTAGAGTCCTATTGGTAGGGAGATGACTGCCGTAGGCCTCGCCCCTACGTCAGTCTCATTTCTCTAGCCCACCCCAGCACACCACCCTCACACAGAATTGCCACAGAGCTTCTTCCTGTGCCTCATGACAAAGCTTCCGTGATTCCCAGGAGGCATTCAGTTCTGGAGCCAGAACATCTTCCGGTTCTCCAGAACTGGCTGGAATTATCTCCCTACTAGAACCCCTGCAACTCATTCCTTGTCTATTTTTGGTGGCCTCCCAAGAGGGCTACCCACAACCAGCTCTTAAGCTTGACTGTCACTCTATGAATCACAGCAAACATCTGGCAGCAGGATTCTTCGGAATCTAGGAACCAGGCAAACACCAGATAATGGCTAATACCCCCAAATTTGCTGAGCTCCACTAATGTTTCCCTGGCAAATGTGATTTTGAAAGAAACTCAGTACCAACAAGAAAAGTCACCCATCAGTGGGCTAATCAGAGGCCTCAACCAGAAATGCCATGGGAATGACTGCCAACGGATGCAGGGTTTCATTTTGGGATGATGAAAACACCTAAAATGAAATAGTAGTGATAGTAGCATAACTCAAAACCACCGAATTGTATACTTCAAAAGGGTGAATTTGGGCTGGTGTTGTGGCTCAGTGGTAGAGCGCTTGTCTAGCAAGCGTGAGGCCCTAGGTTCGATCCTCAGCACCACATAAAAACAAATAAAGGTATTATGTCCAACTACAACTAAAAAAATAAATATTTTTTTAAAAAAGGGTGAATTTTGTGGAATGTGAAGTATATCCCAATTTTCCTAAAGGGGAAGATCACTAAATAATTGCAAAAAGTAGAACAAATAGCAGCAGATCCTGGATCAGGATTCCTTCTTTTGGCTGACACCTATTGGACCTTTGCAAAAAAATATTTTCTTCTTCCTGCTCCTCTGTCTTTCCTTCTCTCTCCCCTTCCCCCAAGTCCTCTTCTCCCTCCTCTTCTTCCTCTTCCTTCTTCCTAACTTTCAAAAGTTGACTAAATCCCTTGGAACAATACTAATAAATAAACAGTTATAAAAGGTCTTCCCAGCAAACTCCCATAGCCTTGAAAACACAATTTCAGGTGTCACATCCTCCAGAACATTTCCCTTCCTCGTTGCCAAGATAAGTGTCCCCCCTGGATCCCAGTCATCACCTTTGCTTTCCGGTGACTAACACCTATGAGGGTAAAATTAGCTGTCTGCCTGTCACCTCTCACTAGCCCAGCCTGGTCAGGGAAGAACTGCATGAGAAACATGTGATGAGTGAACTGAATCCTAGATTGTCATCTTATAAGGTTTCCATTAATCACTATCTTTTCTTGTTAACATGCCTAATTTAATCTGTCAACACTGGACTTCTGCAACCATGTAGCTGGTAATTTCCTATCTGAAACCAAGAGGATATTATAATACGTTTACTCAGAATGCATTCATTCATAAATCAGCCATATCCTCTGAGGGTTTTGCCTTGGTGCAGGTCAAGAGGGAGAATGGAGCAGAGCATCAGAAGCTGGCAGGAGGGAAACAAAGCATGTTCCCTCCTCCCTCTTTCTTTTCCCTGAAAACCTTGAAGTAACTCAGAGCTTTTCAGCAGTCACAAAGTCTATGCGATCCATCTCAGGACCAGGAGTACTTTTCTGCCTCTCCTTCTTAAGGCCGTTCAAAGATTTTCTTAGAAAGTCAGAGAGCCAGGGAACACAACGAAAATATTCTCATCTAGGAAGGAGATCCTCATCAGACACAAAATTTGTCTTGATTTTGGACTTCCCAGCCTCCCGAACCATGAGAAGGTTGAATTCATGTTGCAAGAAACTGGAAGAGTTCTGCCCAACCTAAGGGCTGCGTGACAAGAGGCTGGCAGTCCCTGAGCGATGTGTCCCCATCATGGGGCGTGTTCACAGAGGGTCAGGGTGAAGCAGCTTAATGTGGACACTGGGGCAAGTGAAAAATCAAGATGTCCTCTGCACCAGCTGTGTTCCCTGTCACTTCCTGATGCCTGAATGACAGTAATATTCTTTCTTCACAGTTTATTCATCAGTGAGCTGAAAATAATGCATGGTACATGCCACATATGAAATAAAAAGACAGCAAAATGATGAAAATAAATTAATACTCGTCAAGTACAATGCAAATTTATTTATCAGCGCTTCCTTATTTAATATCTACCTCCCCTCATGAACTATATGTTCCTTAACTTAGGATCTGTGTCTTTCTGGTATTTTACTATATCCCAGGACCAGGCACAAATATTTTTATTCATGAATTGGAATATAGGTGGTTTTTCTTTGTTTTAATAAAAATTTAAAAAGAAAGCTAAAGAGCTATATTATTATAACATGCTGTGAATAGAGCTCAGATAATAGAAGAGCCACTGAACTTTTTGGAGTTTTGCTTTTTTTTTTTCACCTTTACATGCAACCAACAGATGACCAGAAATTTGACCAACAAAGCTATTGTGATTCCAAAAGTTGCACACCTCTCTCTCTCAGCTTGTTCCTACAGCAGGCCAGCCTACATCACAGGGACAATGTTCTGACCCACTGTGAACTCACAGCTCAGTCCATCCCCATGTCCTTAACGGGTGGTATGCTCAGAGCCGGTGAGTGCCAGAGCCACCCCAAGGACACCCCATTTGTAGTTATAAGAATTTGCAGCTGGCACAGCTCTCAGAGAGTCCCGCCTCAGGGTTCATAATAAAAGTGTTCCAACACACAGAACCAGAAAAATAATATTACAATAACTCCCACAGACCACCTGTCACCACCAAAAATTCAAGAGATTTTCCAGATTCTGCAACTTAAAGTATCTTACAGGCATCATAACACTAGATACTTCATAATAACATCGCTGGACACTTCAGCATGCATCTCCCAAAATAAGAATATTATTATCCTATCTACCCCCACACCATTAACCCACCTCACAAAATTAACATTGATTCCCTCATAATCACTAACACTTAGTCCATCATTACTCATAAAGGACACTCCCTCCCTTAAGTCACACTGAGTCTGGGATGGTCCTCCGCCCGCCCCTCCACAGCCCACATGCTGTTCTGCCTCACCAGGTGGCCAACAGCGCAGCCCCCTGAGTACCTGTGCAGAAGGTGCCATCATTGGGAATGAAGGTCTCATTGTTGTTGGTGGCTCGATATCCTTCCAGACAAATGCAGTAGAAGCCTCCCAGGGTGTTGTGGCAAGACGTGTGTTTCCCACAGACCACCATGGCTCCAAACTGGCACTCGTTTTTATCTGTTGATACATGGAAACAACACACAGAAAGGCCACCGTCCACACAGCGTTCAGTAGCCCAGACTGTCTCTCTACAAACCCAGGGTGGGGGCGGGGGGTAGCTGTGCCGTGACAAAGCTCACTGATCTAGTTTCACACCTCTTCTCCTTTCATATGCTTCCCAGATTAGAGGACCCAGGACTCTCTTGGTTGTGCAGCAGGTGTATCCAAAAACCAGCAGAGAAACCCCAAAGCCCAACTGGGCATCCATCTTATAAGAAGATTGGGAGAAGGGGACTCTTTTGAAACTTTTTCACACTTAAAAAATCAAATCAAATCAAGGGCTGAAGATGTAGTAAGGGGTAGAGCATGTGCTTAGCATGCACATGTGCTTAGCATGCTAGGTTCAACTCTCAGCATAATAACAACAAGATTATCGCTGTTGGTGTCGTTATGTCATCAGCTTGGGGAAACAAACCCAGCAGAATCCCATTTTTTTCAGCTCAGCCATTCTCTTGGTTTTTCATGAAAGCCACAGGAGAAAAATATTATATCCAATGATTGAAATGGAAATTTTTTAACATCTGAGCTGCCAGGAAACACAATGGTATCAGCACTGAAACCTCATCCCGGAACAGGGCTAAGATTGTGTCAGGAACAGCTCATGCTAATAGGGACTGTGAGTAACGTCAGTGAGGAGGGGCTGGAATGTGGATGCCTGTGAGGTCACAGATGCCTGCCCTGTGAGTTTTTCATTAAACAATTTAAAAATTGAAAGAATAAAATGAAAGTAAATCTCCATCCCACCTCTGTCTTCTCGCCCAGGGGTCAGCAAACTTTATCGCAATCTCTATTACATCTACTCACCCATGCTTGTAGAGCTCCGAAGCAGATATAAAAAATAGATAAACTAATAAGCAATGCTGTGTTCCAATAAAATTCTATTTACAAAAACAAGCAGCAGGTCAGATGTGGCTCGTGGGCCATAGTTTGTCAACTCTGCTCCAGCCTCTATCTTCAAAGCGAACTCCTGGAACCAATTTCTTGTGTTCCTTTTAGAGCTGTTCTGTCCAGCTAGGTTTTCATTTGTTTGTTTGTTTGGAGGGGGGAGCTCATCAACTTGAACATAAACTAGTAGTTTGGCTTTTTGTTCTTTAGTGTTTGATTTCACTATGGGTTCTCTTGAATCTGTTTCATAATCTCTCACAACTTGCATTCAATTCTTGCTAACTCAAAAATGCCCTCCAAGAGATCTGGGTTCTTTAACTTCTTCTTGTGTTACCATTTTAAAATTTAATGAAATCTGGAACACAATTCACAGGTAAAACTAGTGCTAGTAAAACTAGAGATGTTTGGCCCAAGGATCAAAAAGGTACACAGTGCTTTCAGATAAAAGTCCAGCTGTTCATAAAACAGGAGATTCTTGTCCTATGTCACTGTTTTGGTGACACTGGGTTGGTAAAGGATTCCAGAATTCTGAAGTCCCTTGGCTAAATACCATGGTATAGTGCTTTTGACACATGTATAACCTCACCTGTAACTGCTGACCAAGTACTGTGATGTGCAGCATTCAGTGTTAGGGAACAGGTACCACATACATTAATGAGGCCCCCTCCTTCCATTAAGAAAAGTGTCTATTGTTTAAAAGTAAAGGGACATTGAGAGTACAGCCTCCTTAAGAGAGAGAATTCATCTAGAGAAGGGGGCAGGAAAGCTCATCCATGCTCCTCAACTCCAGGTACAAAAATTTCTGATTTTTGCATGTCTCTGCTAGCAAGGGGTCTGCAGAGTGAAGAAGGTTAGTAGGATAAATTCCCTCAGGAGCCCCAGACTGCCAAGCAGCCACACCTTGCATGGGTAGAACCCTAAAAAGCAAGGGTCAAAGAAGATGCAACTTCAGGGTGCAGGAGGGTGATGATGGGTAACTGACAGCTCCTTTCAGCCTTCCCAATAGCTGAGACCAGCAGCATAGCACCACAGCTTTTGAAATATGACTTTTTCAATGCAGGACTGATTGTTATTTTTCTTTAAAAATGAAACACACATACATACACACACACACACACACACACACAAACATATCACAAGGCTGAATACATTGTCTATCTACAATTGCATGGCAAAATTATCAATATTTTTACTGCATGTGACAAGGTTGCAGAGAGGAAACTAGGTGATTATTGTCACATTTACTATTACAATACTGTTGTGAAACTCTCTCTGAATTGGACTTAAATCTGGATATCGTCCATCTGTTGTGGCTTCTTATGGAAGCCACAAGGCAAAAAAATAATCTCAGATGCTTCCAATCTGAAAGACTTTGTATTCAAGTCATCCAAGTCCCCCAAAGGGTCACATCTACAAAAATTTCAGAGGATGGATTTTGATAGACATAAGACCAAAACCAAGTTAACTATTTTGCTAATTAACCAAAAAAGCACAATAGGAAATTATGGTTTGTTTTTCCCCCATGGTATTACCATAAATATTTATATATTTTTTTAAAAATACAGAAATCTAGAAATGCAATATTCACTTGAGTTGTTAAATTAACTCAAAACTTAAAACAGATTTCAAATTTCGGTTGGGTCAGAGAGTCAAGAGTCAAGTTTCCAGAGTCAAGTTCAATGACCTCTAACAGGAGGGATACTTCCTGGAAAACATCAGAAAAAGGACAGATCAAACACTAAAACAAAGATCTATTATAATAGATAAAATCTCACATCATAAAAACATGTGAACAAAATGTTTTCCCCCCAAGGACATCAACTCTTTTACACTAGAGAATCCTATTTCTTGATTCAATGATTCAATCTAACCCACCAGTCAGAACTTACCAACACAGGTAGTCATCCCATTGCCCACAAAGCCATAGTTACAAATGCAGATCTTCTTCCCTTCTCTTTGCTGGCAAGTAGCATGTTCGTGGCAAGTGGCACAGACATCAACACCTGAATCATAATTTGTACATTTCAAAAAAAGGAAAGCTCAAGGTGGGATACATTTAGTTAATATATTTTAAGATGCCAAATTTTCTCCCTCTCTCTCCCCCTCTGGTACTGGGGATTCAACACAGCGGAGCTTTACTACTGAACTACATCCCAGTCCTTTATTATTATTATTATTATTATTATTATTATTATTATTATTATTATTATTATTATTATTTTGAGACAGGGTCTCCATAAGTTGCTTAGACTCTCCCTATATTGCTTAGGTTGGTTTCAAACTTTCAGTCCTCCTGCCTCAGTCTCCCAAATCTCTAGGAATATAGGCATGAGCCACTGCACCTGGCGGGAACCAAGGATTGAATTCCAAAATAAACAGGATAGATCTAATCTCATCTTTAAAGACCTTCAAGGGCGACTTATTGCCCACCAATACCGGGCAGATTCCTCCATGTGTCAATCACCTAACTCCTGACAGACATTTCCTGCTTCCATGGTTCACAAATCCCAAACATGTGGTACTCTCTGGGCAGAAGAGGCCAATCTTTCCTAATAGACCATCTACTGTCCGATTTCCATGCCACGGTCCTGACAATCCTTCACCTAGAATGCCTGCCTCCCTGTACACCTAGCTGGCACCTACTCCAATTTCAAGACCCAGCCTGGGGATCTCATTCTGTCTCAGTCTCCCCCATTCCTCCATTTGTAAGAAAAAGGGAGTGTCTCCTCCTCTGTGCTGACCTAACACCTGCACATTCCCAAATCAATCACGTTAATTTCTTGTCATATCTGATCCCAGCTCTGTCTTCCCAGTTTGGTTTTATACGAGCCACTCAAAGACAGCAATTATGACCTTTGTCCAAACCTTATTATGGCCCAGCATAGACACTCACTGTATTTTTATTGACTGGCTGGCTAAAGGGATCTGAAATCCAACTTGCTACAACTCAAAAAGTAAACCGAGGGGAGAGGAACACAGCTGCCTGTTACTCTATCCATTTTCCTTTTAGGGGCAAAAAAAAAAAAAAAGGAATGTGTTTAAGATGTCAGGGAGATAACAGCCATTTACTCACAGGATCACCACACCCCAGTTACTTAGATAAACAGCAGAAATGTTTGAGGCTAAAACTCCTAAAACATCCAGATTTACCAGATGGTGATATATGGCCTAAGATCAAACAAGAATTTCTACCTGAGGCCATGGGGGATACTGTTTCAGCTCAGTGTCTCTGTAATTTCAGAAGTGGCCCAGTTAAGGAAGAGTCCAGCATGGAATTTTATCTGTGTCTTGGCCCCATTATTAACCAGGCAATACAGGCCAGCCCTCAGGCTGCTCCAGGCACAAACCAACAGACACTAGGAGATTTCTAAATATTCTGCGTCCTATTTTTCTTCTTCTTCTTTTTTTTTTTAATGAATGATAACATAAAAATAAAACAAATTAATCATTACTAACTAATAACAAATTAATCATTACTAATACCAAATTAACCATGGAATATTTACAAAATATATCTCAGACCAGGAAAAAAAATGCAAAAAGTAAAAAAAAAAATTAAAGGTATTATCTTCCCGCCACAGAATAGTAAATAATAAAGCTACAAAACATAATTCCAGTATCCTCTAAACGAAACTACTTGGAAAACTACAAAACATTCTCTCAAATCACTTTCAGGATAGAGAAGATATCCAAAAATGAAATGTTTAATACTTGCTATAAAACTTATATACTCCAGAAAATTCTAGTTTAATGTGTCTTTATGGGCTGGGGATGTGGCTCAAGCGGTAGTGCGCTCGCCTGGCATGCGTGCAGCCCAGGTTCAATCCTCAGCACCACATACAAAGATGTTGTGTCCGCCAAAAAACTAAAAAAAAATAACTATTAATGTGTCTTTATACTTTAGCTTTGACTTTTTTTTTTTTTTTTGGTGGGCAGGGATCAAACCTAGGGCCTTGGGCATGCAAGACAAGCACTCTATATCACCAGCCCCTTGTCTTTATACTTTAAAATAAGGGGAGAAACCTTGACATATTAGCACATTACCCATCTGATGACATGGAAAAAAAATCAAAAAGAAAGAAGGGGAAATAAAATACATAAAACTCATAGACACTACCAATTTGTAATCACATAATACAACCAAAATTTTGGAAATTCTTTTTAAATAATGGTTCTTGGGTGCTACGGTTTGGATACTGTCTAAGGTTGTCCTCCAGGGGTTCCTGTGTTGGAAGCCTGGTCCCTAGTGTGGCAATGTGAGAGGCCATGGAACCTCTGACAGGTTGGGCATCGGGGGAAATAATTGGGTCATTTGGAACATCACCCTCCCAAGGGATTAATTAGTTCTCATGATACCCCATTTACTTTCCACAAGAGATGGGAGTTAAAAAGAGCAAGTCAGGCCGACTCCACCCTGTGGTTTCCTGTCTTGCCAAGTGATCTCTCCCTCAAGTGGTGCTTACACCATGATGCCAGCTCCCATCAGGCCCTCACTGGAGGAAACCCAAAGGGGCCACCCATTCTTAGCCTTCTGGCCTCTAAAACTGTAGATTAAATAAAACTTCTTCCTTCTTTTCTTCTTTTTTCTTTCCTTCTTTCTTTCCCTTCTTTACTAAGTATCTCACTTCAGGTATTTCATAATAGCAACTGAAACAGACTAATAATATACTGGGTCAAGTCAAAATCTTCAGTTGTGCTCCACCACACAATGATGAATATTCACTCCAATTTAATGGGTAGATAGAATGCAATCCTATTAAAAACCTCAAATCTTGGGTGTGGAGTTTCAGTTTGGTATGATGAAAAAGTTCTAGGGATGGATGGTGGTGGCAGCTGCATGACAAAGTGAATGTACTTGATGCCGCTCGGTTGTACCCTCTGAGATGGTAAATGGTACCATGGTATGTCTGTTTTACCACAATGATAAAAAAATACAGAAAGTTACATTTTAAAATAACTTTATTGGTACATTATACACCTACAAGAAAAGGGACCCTGGCTTAAGTGTACAGTTCAATGAGTTTGACAATGTATACAACCATGAAACAGTTGCCTCAACCAGGATACAAAATATGTGAATGGATAAACACAGTTTCGTGTATCCATTTGACAGCGCACAATGAAGCTCAATAAATGTTTGTTCCCCACAGCAGCACAAAGGACGAGACAACTGAAGGCTTCTCAGACCACCTGTAGAACAGAAAGTGCTGGGGTAGGGATGGAGGTGAAGCTAATTATCCAGCCAGGAGGACCCTAGTTTGCAAGGCCTTGTAGAATAGTCCTCTGAATTCTGGTGATTTGAGGGACCAAATGGTCTCCTGAAGAAAGAAACTTTATACTGAATAAAGAAGAAGGCAGCACAACTCCCACCCAAGGACAGACTGTGGCGACTGCTTCTGACCACACATCAGAATTCCTTGTTCAACACCTTCAAGCTCAGTTAAGAATCACCAAGAGATAAGAGTGACCAATTCATCCCATTTTAATACTAAGTCCTGTGTCCTAGAAACCCCTCGTCTGAGTACAAACCAAGATGGCCAGTCACCCTGAAAAGAGAGGCTTGTTAAAAATACAGAATTCGGGGACTGGGGTTGTGGCTCAGCGGTAGAGCACTCGCCTAGCACGTGTGAGGCCCTGGGTTCGACCCTCAGCACCACATATAAATAAATGAATAAAATAAAGGTTCATCAACAACTAAAACATATTATTAAAAAAAAAAAAACATAATTCACAGAGACTCTGATTTGGTGGGTGTAGGTAGGGCCTGAGACTCTGCCCTTCCAAGAAGCTCCCAGGTGGACCACACCATGAGTAGCACTGTAAGTCTAGCTCAACCTCAAGGATATCAGCCAGAATTCTGGAAGGCTAGGGGGAGGCAATAATGAGAGAAGTCTTCCACCAGTCTAGACTGACACTCTGCATAGCTACGGGAACAATGTGACAGGGAGAACAAGCCATGGGAAGGGGATTCTCCAGGCCAACAGAAAGGTCACCAGGCCTCTGCTACAGCCTGCAGGAGGGCTATGTCAGGGGTAACTGCATCCACGCCAAACACAACTTTAGCTGAGTGTGGTGGCACATGCCTGTGATCCCAATTGGGAGGTTGAGGCAAGATGATCACAAGTTCAAGGCCAGCCTGGGCAACTTAGTAAGACCCTATCTGGAAATAAAATAGAAAGGACTGTGGGGTGTAGTTCAGTGGTAGAAGACTTGCCAGGCACGTGTAAGACCCTGGGTCAATCCCCAGGACTGCAAAAAATAAAAAGATGACGTCAGCTCTGTCATCAGCAGACTCAGTACCTGAGAGCAGAGAGGTAGCCGCCACATAACTGAAGGGTGGGGTCCCCCAGGGACACCTAGAATTCCTGGCAGAGAAACAGGAAAGTTAAGAGATTCCAAAATCTCAAAGGAAGAAAAGCCTGACAAGTACTTTCTGTAACTATCACCTTATCCTCCTGCTACGCTACCACCCCAGGTTCCCTCCCACTCTCCGCTCTGCAGAGACCAAGCCAGCCAAGCCCAATTCACATCCAATGATGAAAGGCTGAGAGGGGTTTAGAGGTCTCACCAAGACTAGAGTTGTCTCTCTTGCTCCCCAGTTATGTGATCTTAGGTAACTGTCAGCCCTCCAGCTTTAATCCTCAAGGAGGAAATGGTGTTGTCAAAATTAAATGAGAAATAAGGCCGGGGATATAGCTCAGGTGGTAGGGTTCTTGCCTCGCATGGACAAGGCCCTGGGTTCAATCCCCAGCACCACACACACACATACACACACACAAAAAAAAAAAGATTAAATGAGAAATAGAAACACTGAAAAAACTTCTAAAGCACTATGCAAATTATATGAATCATATGCCTGTTTCCATAGACTGTTATTTTTGCTAGAAACAGTCATACAAGATGCAGGACTTGGGAGCTGGGGATGTGGCTCAGTGGAAGGGTACTTGCCTAGCAAGTGTGAAGCACTGGGTTCGATTCTCAGCACCACATATAAATAAATTAA